TTAAGGATACGAAGGCATTCATTTATTAGACAAAACATGTCATAATCAACTTGTTCTCGTGCATCATCTGCTGCAGTATCTGCAGCCTCTATCTTCTGCACCACATCAACGGGCAACCGCTTGATGGAGGGATGCCATTCTATCACCGCGATAGGGGTCAGAATCTTCGCCATAACTTCTGCATAGAGCTTGTCATCCTCGATAATTCGACCGATATCCGGAACCAGCTTGTCACATGTCTCACGCACCGTCTTGGCTGCATGCTTTAATATTGCATCGCATCGATCCAATGAACCAACATACGCTATGAAGTTTTTATCAATTGCTTCTGCAGAAATACTGATTCCAAATCTATTCACGCAATCTTTAAACCCTTGGCATAACGGGAGAAGGTACTCACGAGTGCTGTTGTGTGTTTCTTTACGCACAAAATACGGCATCATATTCCTCAACCCCCACATCAGTTCGTGGATAACGTCCTTGTCGTCGTAGCAATCGACTCCCAGATTGGACTTGATGATAGCAGCCCTGAGATTTTCATCCTCGACAACCAGCTGTGGTATGTGTTTGCAGTGCCTCCTGATTGAATAAGCGAGCCTCTCCCCAGGACCATCGACGCCCATCACAGCAGACTTGTCATCAACCTTGATGTACTCGAGGAATAAGATAATTTCCGTGGCAACGTTATCCATGATAAACCACGTCCAGAGCTTCTGCGGCCCGGAACATATCCTACCATTAACACTGAATAAAGCGAAACCTGTGGGAGTGTCCAGTAGTGCCACCGCAGCTTGACCCAGTCTCATCTCTGGTCCTCTTCTCTTCGAGTAGTGTAGGGCAGTCAAACTAGTTCCTCCGGCGGCGGCGGACGTCTTAGGCGTGAAAGATGAACACGGATCGACGCGGATCTGGAGCACTGGTTTCCAGCTGCGCGATCAAGGCAGATGGGCGTGCTCACCCTCGCCCAGTCGCCATCGCGGTCTTACCCGTCTCCTTGGACGGGACCGTTAGGGTTTGGGGCGGCTTGCGGCAATGTCGTGGACTCTTTGGACGACTAGGAATAAGATGGTGATTGAGAAGGTTTTCCCGAAGAAGGCTTCTGACTCCTTCAAATTCATTGCTTTCTTGCAGCACTAGCACCCGCTCTCGAGGCAGCGTGATCGTGATCGTCTTGGCTTGATGATGGATGCGCTTTTGGCCTCGGCGCGTCGGCTGTCGTCCTCGTAGGGCCGCTCGGCGGTAGCCACTAGGTGGCTTTTTCTTTATATTTCTCTTATGCTTTCTTGGGCTTATTTGTGCTGTGGCCCCAGCCATTTCCTGTTGGTTGCTGTTCAAACTTGGATCGTGTGAACCGTTGCTTTATTTATAAAGCGGGGCGAAAGCCTATTTCGAGGAGGGTTTGGGGCGGCCGGATGCCTGGTTGTGCTATGTTTCACTTAATTTCGGTAAAGCTATTCAGCGAACGTTCGCTGGGGGCGGCATTCGCGAACGCTTTTCATGGCATTTTATGTTTTACGGGAACATGGCAATTCCTTCACGCGAACACGGCAAATTTCACATCAAAATCCCTTTGTTTGCAAACTTTGTCATGTGTTTCAAAGAAATTGTCATGTGTGTTAGAAGAAGCTGCCATAAAAACGTTCACAAATGCCATGCTCTCAGGGAATGTTCACTGGCTATCATGGTCCAATTAATTATGGATGTAACACTCATTACTGTTTATAAGCACGTCATTTGTCAAATTAAAAAAAAGGATGGACACAACTATAATTATTATATTTTCCATTCAAAGTTATATAAATGAAGGGATCAATTTAAAGGAGAAATTTATATTTGTGAAAATGTTCTGTACATTTGTATATAACCTTCAAAAAACTATGGAAAATTACCACTATTATCTTATATTTGTTGGATTTAATTGTAAGCTTATATACACTTGAAGTTTAATAAATTAAGGATATATTTAAATGAGGGATTTATAATTGTAGTTTGAAGGGGATAAAAGGAAAGGCTAGGTACATTTCAAAAACAAAGGGAGGCTGAATATTATCATCCCATGAATATTTGTTCTTTGTTTCATTCGTTTCTTCGCACTACTTTTGACTCTCATCATCATTAGTTAGCCACTGTTAGATGCGGCTAACTCGGAAATCCATTTCGGCTCCTGGGAAGACTGCTCATGCGTGCAAAAATAACTTCGGAAATGTAAAAAAACACAATTTTTTTTTATGTATTCATAGTCACTTCCAAATGCCACATGCAAGTTTTAGGGAAAAAAGTTAATATTTTGGCTTGTGCAAAATTGAACATCAAATGTCACCCCAAAATGTCACCCAATTTTTTGTTTTTTTCGCCGACGAAAAACTACTGCTCTGTTTCACATGAAATTTGTCAAGCATGCTTACGACACTAACACAAACATCCCAAAAATAATTAGATTTTTGAACACGGTATAGACGCAAGCGCTCATACATACGCACATACACTCACCCCTATGAACGCACACACGCACACCCTACCCCTATGAGCACCTCTGAGAGATTGAGCCGGCATATCATCTTGAGATTTACGAAGTCACTGTAGGTGCCTCGTCGTCGACGGAAACGTCTCCTCCCACTGAAAGCGCATCGCCGAAAATCCTGAAATAAATCCAGCAATAATGCGAGTACCAGGACTTGAACCCTGATGGGTTGGGGATACCACTGTCCCTCTAACCCTGGTGTGTTAAAAAAATCAGATTTTTCTGAGTTTTGTAATAAAAAAAATTCGAGTTACTGTTCACCCAGGAGCAAATGCTCTCGGGAGCCAAAACGCCTGCCTGGATAACTCTTGTTCTAACTTCAGGAAGCTATATCACAAGAGACTCATCACCATTGCTTAGAGCAGCTATAGCAGACTCATATCCTGTAATTCCAAGACATATTCGTTATCCCCCAAAATCCTATATTTAAAATAATAATAATTCTAGCATATTCCCTAGACTTAGTTCTCCGATAAAATTGCCAATTGATCCAAGTGTTTTCTCAAACAATTGAAACGTCATCACATATCAAAACAAACATAAACAATTCAAATGCATCACATCAGTATTTAACTCCGTCAAATGGGCCTGTCGCCGCCATCGTAGGCGAGCGTCAAGGAGGAGCCGCCGTTCCCACCACCACACCACATGAAGCGTGGGCCGGTGTCCCCGCACCGGCGGGTCAAGGACGAGTTGGTGTCACCCTGCCCTAGCGCAACCATGTCATCCAGATGTCAAGGACAAGCCCACGTCGCCCCCGCCCAACCGAGGCAACCAGATCGGCGGACGCCGGGTCAAGGACGATATGACGCCCCGCCCCCTAGCATAGCCGGTACACCGTCACGACGGGCCTGCCTTGCCACCCCGCCGTCCCTGCCGCACCTCCCGCAACCAAGAAGACGTGGAGCCGCATCCTCCACTACCTCCAAGGTGGTAGCAGCGGTGGTCCATGGGGCTCCAGGGTCGTCGTCTCCTACGAGGAGCACATGGCGAGGTAGCTGGCGCGGTACGCCCGTCGCAATGCCCGCCGCAGATCCGTATTTGCCAAAACAGACATGACGACGGATTGGGTCCTCAACGACCTCAACCTCTCCGCCCAGTGAGCCCTCGACCGCTCTGTCACCACCACAGAGACGGCCGCCATGTGCCACCGCCGCTTTGACGGCGAGCTAGCCATGATAGGCGAGGAGGGTCGCTTGGCGACTGCCCCGCCAACGCCAGCCGCGGCAAGGCCACAGCCAAGGCTCCACCGGCGACGTCAGCAGTTGCCAGGGCGGCCCTCCACACCGTGCAATAGGAGTCAGGGCGGCTCCTCCGCGAGCGGCAGGCATCCACCGGACAAGGCTGCTGCAGTCCTCCAACGTCGTTCCACCGCTGGAGGGATGACGATGATGACGATGGCATGGACGCCAGTGCAACAGGGCAGGGCGGCCACGCCTACAAGGTGGTCGTCCATTATGGGTTTTAGAGTTTTTTTTTTCTAGTTTTTTAGTTAAACGGTTGAAATATTGACCTTTTCATGTTAATTATGACCGAACTTGAATGGAATCCACCGTGTTTTCATGAATTTCATCCGTTTAGTTCAAATAGTTGTTGAAATGTATGCGGGCAGCGTTAAACGGCCGTCTCGGGCAAATGTGTCCACGGGTTGGTTCCCCTGTCCGCTGACGGATGCGGGTGAAATTTGCGGGTCAGCGTTGGAGATGTCCTAAAGGCGCACGTAGTGTCTCACAAGTAGTTTAAGGCAGGAAATAAGTGCCAGCGAGCTAGGCTGTAGCTATAGAAGAATATGTTTTTGTCGTCAATCCTGAATTACTGATGATGCCCTCTGTAAAATTAATAGACATTATATACTCATGTAAACCAGCATGCGAGCTGTATATTGATTCCTCCGTATTAGCCACCTGACCGTCTGCGGATATTACGTGTATTGAGCATTTGTGCCATGTACAGTGTACATGGATTGCATGGTCATGTACTGCTAGGATGAAGCTAATTGAGTTTAGTCATGACTATTTTCATGAAAACAATCCAAAACCAAAAACAGTGTATGTACATATGATGTCGACAATCATATCTGGAATGAAATGTGTGTTGGTGCTTTGGTTGTCCACGAGATTTGTCTAGGATTTTCGTATCATCAATTCATCATGCATCCTCAGATCGGAGAAGTGAGCATATGTGCTAGCAAATATGGACGGGTCGGAAGCAGGTTATTCATGGATGCACCCAACACAAAAATTTATAGCTCCACATGTCAACCCGAAGCCATGCGTGATCAAATGAAAGCAAGATAAGCACATAGAAAATATATTAGCTTGTTGCATTCCAATATTCAGACAAATTTAGAACAGTAGTGCTAGTAGACTAGTAGTAGCTATTGGTTGATCAACACAATACTATGCATGGCCATCTTTTACATCAGTGAATATTAACCTAATTAGAAGAGAAATATATATACAAATTACAAAGAATCGTTTTAGAGTTTCAGCAAACCGAACTTGGAGAGCAGCCGCTTGAGAAGGGAGGGACTACGGGTCCCGGTTATCTGCCCCAGGCCACCAGCCGCGAAAGCTGCGTGTAAACTTGGGTCGGCTTTGATGAACTCCAAGCAGGCCTTCTTCAACCCACAGCACTGTCTCTGCTCAGCCACGACAATGATGTCTGCCACAGTTTTTGCGCATATGAAACCGGCCAACTTCTCTTCACAGATCGATTTGAGCCTCTGGAGATCATATCTTTCCGCAGCTTCGAGGAACTGCAGCAGCCGAGTTGCATATATAACTTCATCATCGTCATCGTCTGCTTCCATGTCAACAAATTCGGGCACTGCATCAGTGTAGATGAAAGTAAGCAAGCCCGCGAAGACGTCGGCTTTGATGTCGCTTATCTTGACGACACTCGATTTATCCTTGGCACCAGAGAGCTGTGCCTTGAAGACGGCGGATCGGGCTGCAAGCACGCACCGGTGTGCAGCAAACTTGTCGCCGCCAACCTCAAACGTAATGTCAGCACCCTCCTTGCTCAGGAGGAGATCGCCAAAATGGCTCTGCAAGTCGGACGGTGGTGACAGTTCATTGAACGGAAGAGCGTTGGTGCCGGCGCCCTGCTCCTCGGTATCCCCATCCGACATCAGGACAACAAGGTCGCACCGGAGGACGAAGCCGTCGTTCTTGAGATGTTTTGATCTTTCAAAAACCTCCCTTTTCATGAATCTAAACTGGCCATGAACATCACATTGTTTGTAGAAGCAAACTGGTTCACTTTGGCGTATGTGCTTTGGCACCCGCAACTCAGGCTGGTCGATGAAACTTAAGACATACTGAACCTTCACGCTCTGCTTGATGTCCTCGTCAAGGACAAGCAAAACCGATATAAATTCTTCATCTTCCGAGTTATCGCCATTAGGGCTGTAGTCGATGGTCCAGCGACGGCCTCCAACAATGAAAGGACGAGACCCGATCCACTTGCCGTTGGGAGTTGTCTCTTTAGTGCGCGAGTAGCCTTCGACAACTAGCAAGTGATACCCGCTGTCGGCGCCGGAGTCGACGGCCGACTTGGTGGAGGCGCACAGCATGCCGTTGGCGACGAGAGATGCGCCAGCGAAAGCCATGCCCGACAAAACTCGAATAGTAGATGCCCGCGACAAACTTTGGCCGTCTACTTCTTTAGTTTTATCATCAACCAAAAATCAGATTCACGGTACAATCTCACGCCATAGTGCAGGTATATATACACGCACGGTCGCACGAACACGTAACGGAAACAGATTAGGACCCGATCAATTACAAAACCACACGGACTACCTTCTTTTTTTGACATCCCGAACACGGACTAGTTTTTTTTTTTTGAGACAAACACGGACTAGCCTCGTAACAGACGCCAATTAACTGCCGATCGATCGCTAGGTGAGGTGGTCGCAGCGAACTAAACATTCCACGGGGAGGGCACCCTTCGCTGGGAACGGCACACCCGAGCGAACACCTTCCCTCGCCTACAAAAACTGAGAACAACTAGTTAACGAGCGCTCCTTCGGAAGGCTCGCAACGATCAGCACGCATTGTGAGAGAGAGACACGGTTTTGCTTTCATGAGAGACACGGTCATGCCTCTTGGAAACGAAAAAGAAACGCATTTTCTGTTGTTTTTTTCATTCGCGAGAGACACGGTTGTTGCTTTCGCGAGAGACATGGTTGTGCTTTCGCCAAAGGCACCACTACTAGAAAAAGGGCTATAGATAGGATTCATACTAATGGCGCATCAGGATTGTAGTGCGCCACTACTATATACTAATGGTGCACTAGTTTGTGATGCGCCATTAGTGTGGAAGACACTAATGGCGCACCAGAAAAACGGTGCACCACTAGTAATAATTTTTTTTTTCATATTTACATACATACTAATGGCGCATCCTACCGAAGTGCGCCATTACTAGTTCTAACTAGTAATGGCGCACTAGGAAGACAGTGCGCCATTAGTATATTTTTTTTTACTTTTTTGCAAAACTACTAATGGCGCACCACCCGCAGGTGCGCCATTAGTAAGCAGGCATACTAATGGCGCATTTGCTGGTGGTGCGCCATTAGTAACCTGGGACCCCAACAAGATATTTTGGATAGCCACACCTACCCACTTACTTTCCCCACTTCATTCCCTCCACCTTCTTCTCCAAACTTTCGGCTGCCTCCTCCTCCTCACCTCATTTGCACCATAGATTCATCAAAATTAAGTGGTGAAATTACCTTTTTTATAGGTAAGTAAGGGGAAAGCTATCTTCATGTTGTAGATCTACTTTTTTTCTCCCTAGCTCGCTCCAATAACGTGCACATGCACTTTTTGTGGCCTAGCTAGATCTAAGTATGTTTGTGATGTTGCATATGTTTGTGGTGTTGCATATATGTTTGTGTTTGCAGGTACCGGTATTTGAAATGCGATAGTTGCCAATATTTTGCCGGAATGTTGATTCATTTCCGTTTCGGCGAAAATTTTGGCACTATGCATTCTTTTTGGTCCTATTTTTAGAGAAGGTCATGCCAAATTTTTTGTTGGTTCTAAAATATCGTTTTGCTCTACCCTGCAGGCGACCATGGTCCGCAAGATGACCGAAGGCATCGTGAATAGGTTTTTGAGCTCCGCGAAGGCCGAGATGCTTCAAAAGAACGAGACGGAGATAAGATGTCCGTGTCGAAGATGCAAGCTGAAGAGCCTTATTGCAGACCCGGATTCCAGGCAGGTGCGGGACCACCTGCTCTTGCGTGGTTTCATGGATGGCTATCGGTGGCAAGGTGATGAAGATGACTATGAAGTCGTCCATGGGGGCCGGGCAAGAAATGAGGAAGGGCAATAAGACAACCACCGCGGTGAGGGCGGGCGAGAAGGCGAAGAATCTCCAAGACATGATCACGACGGTGATGCTGTACACAGTCATCATGTAGAAGATGTCGTACATGATGATGAGGAAGATCAAGACGAAGGGCATGATCATGAAGATGAAGATGCCGGAGCAGACGATGATGGAGGCTGGGTGCAGGACCCTCATATTCAAGAGTTGCTTCTCAAGCAGACGAATAACGCAAGAGCTGCCGCCCGAGAGAAAGCCAAGCTGGATCAACTGGAGATAGACGCGGTTACTCCATTGTATGAAGGATGCAGGCCCGAGGATACCCGCCTGAAAGTAACGCTCATGGCTCTGGAGATGAAGGTAAAACACAAAATGACCGACGCATACTTCGACGAGAACATGTCATTCTGGCACGAACGTCTTCCCAAGGGGAACAAGTGCCTGACCAGTTTCGAGGAGGCGAAGAAAATCGTGTGTCCTCTGGATTTACCGCACGTGAAATACCATGTGTGCATGAACAATTGCATCATTTATCGGGATGAGCACACGGAGTCTACCATATGTCCGGTGTGCGGCGTCACTCGATACAAGAAGAGGAAGAAAGCTCCTCGAAAATCAGTGTGGTACTTTCCGATCACTCCTCGTCTGCAGTGGTATTTCGCGGACCCTAAGGTAGCAAAGCTCCTGCGTTGGCACGCGGATAGGGAGGAGAAGAAGCAGGAAGATGACGGAAATGATCCGGAGATAAATAAAAAAGACAAGATGCTGAGTCACCCTAAGGATGCGAGCCAGTGGCAAGCGTTGAACTTCGAATACCCAGAATTTGGTAAGGATCCAAGGAACATCGTGCTGGGCGCGAGCGCCGATGGAGTCAATCCGTTTGGCAGCCCGAGAAGCACACATAGCACCTGGCCTGTGTTTGTGTAGATGTACAACCTTCCCCCCTGGTTGTGCATGAAGAGGAAGTACATTCACATGAGTATGCTAATTGAAGGGCCGAAACAACCAGGGAACAACAACAATCTGTATCTGGGGCTGCTGAAGGAGGAGCTAGACACGATGTGGAAAACGCCAGCCAATACGTGGGATGCCGCAGAGAAAGTATATTTCCCTATGAGAGCCGCATTGCTCACGATGGTGCACGACTATCTTGGTTGCGAATATCTCGCGGGGTAGGTAGTCCACGGATTTTCTGGATGCGTAAGGTGCATGGATGACACAACGTATCGCCAGCTAGATAGAGATCCCGGGTCTTCGAAAACCATGTTCATGGGACATCGAAGGTGGCTTCGCGACGATGACCCGTGGAGGAAACGCAAGGATCTGTTCGATGGTGAAACCGAACCCCGAAAACGCCTGTGTACGAGGAGCGGCGAGGAAATAGACGAGCTGTTGAAAAATTGGAAAGACTGCCCACTGTCGGGAAAGAAGCAAAAGGCGCCAGAGCCGGGAAAGAAGCGAAAGGCGCCAGAGCCGCTGCTGAAGGTATGGAAAACGAGGTCTGTTTTCTGGGACTTGTCGTACTGGAAGATCCACCGTGTGCCTCACAGCCTTGATGTCATGCATATCACGAAGAACGTGTGTGAGAGTCTGCTTTGTACCCTGCTCAACATGCCAGAGAGGACCAAAGATGGGCCGAAAGCAAGGGCAGACTTGAAATCAATGGGCATTAGGCAGGAGCTTCACGCTAATGATGATGATGATGATGAGGCGAAGCAGGACACAGAAAGTCGCCGCGAAGGCAAAAAGGCCAAGAAGACCGGAAATGACTACCCTCCCGCGTGCTTCACTCTAAGTCAGGAGGAGATCGAGCAGTTTTTCACCTGCCTCCTAGGAGTAAAACCTCCTTACGGTTACGCGGGGAAGATAAGCAGATACCTAGACCCAGCGAAGCAGAAGTTCAGCGGGATGAAGTCTCACGACTGTCACGTGCTGATGACGCAGATACTTCCAGTTGCAATCCGTGGGATCATGGACGCGCACGTTCGTGAAATGCTATTTGGCCTATGCAACTTTTTTGACATCATCTCTCGGAAGTCGATTGGCATGAGGCAACTCATAAGGCTACAGGAAGAGATCGTGGTGATACTATGCGAGCTTGAGATGTACTTCCCGCCCGCATTCTTCGACGTTATGGTGCATCTGCTGGTCCATATCGTGGAGCATATCATCCAACTCGGGCCGACGTTCCTGCACAGCATGATGCCGTTCGAAAGGATGAATGGTGTCATCAAAGGATACGTTCACAACATTTCACGTCCAGAGGGAAGTATAGCCAGGGGCTTTCTGACCGAAGAGTGCATCTTCTACTGCACGAATTATCTAGGCATCGAGAACCCCGTTAGTCTGCCCGTCAACAAGCACCTCGGCAGGCTCGCTGGATGGGGTCACCGTGAGGGTCGCCGCGAAATGCATGTCGACTTTGAGGGTCGACTCGCCGACTTTAAAAGAGCAAACCTAGTCGCGCTACAACATATAGACGTGGTCGATCCTTGGGTGGTAGAGCACAAAACCTTTATTGAGAAGACGTACAATGACCGAGGCCAACAGAGGACGGACGGAGATATAATCAAAGAGCACAACTCATGTTTCACGCATTGGTTCAAGCAGAAGCTTCTGTCGTACCCTTTACATGAGGATTCTTCCACGGAAGAACAACTCATATTCGCCTTGTCACAGGGTGCCGAGCACAACCTGATGACCTATGAGGCGTACGATATCAACGGCTACACATTCTACACCGAGAACAAGGACATGAAGAGCGATGGTTATCAGAACTCCGGGGTAACGATGAAATCCTACACCGGCAACGACAAGGACAGATACTACGGAAGGATCGAGGAGATCTGGGAGCTGAGCTACGCTGGAGAGAAGGTCCCGATGTTCCGTGTCAGATGGGCCAAGAGCGTCCTAAAAGAAGACCAGTATTTCACCACCATGGTTATACCCGAAGCCAAATCTAAGACCGCAGGCGCAAACGTCACCGCGAAAAATAAGCCATGGGTCCTGGCTTCCCAAGTGGACCAATGCTTCTTCATTACCGACCCGCCAAAACCCAGTCGTGTTGTCGTGAGGAGAGGCAAAAGGAAGATCATCGGAATGGATGGAGTAGCCAATGAGCAAGACTTCGACAAGTACGGCGACCCGAAGATCGAACATGACGACGACGATGAAGTAGCAGCACACACACCACAAGAAGAAGCAGGACCACCCTACCTAAAGGACGTCCGTTCCACAGAAGAACTCCATTTGCGAAAAAGAAGGGCAAGAAGA